CTTCTTTGATTGACACCTAAAATTTTTTTTTTAGTATCTTCTCAATTAATATATAGAGGATTAGCAATAGATTTTTAAGTTCATAGATTATAAGGGCCTCTAGCAAAATATTATAATCATCTAATATTATACAAATGTCAAACCTCGACATTGCAACTTTAACTACAGTAAAAGTACAAATAATTTCAGAACATTCCCAATAGTTCATCCACCCGATTAACACTCCCATCTTGTCGTTCCACCTTCGGAGTCACTTGTTGATCCCATCCACATGAATCATCTTCTAAATTTCACTAGAAACACCGCCTCGTACTGTGTCCCTGGCATTAGATTCCCAGTCTCATAGGTTCCTACTATTTTTAGCCAGTGACTTTTTTCATCTTTGCAACTTCAAGTGCCGCATGGCTGGAGACATAACAAAAAAATCATTCTGGTGAATCAGATCCCTTAAAATGGAACCTAAAATCTCAAATTAAACTATAAACATTTACACCATGAATAGTTTAGATTTTAGAATGGTTTGAAGCCTATTTTTCCGGATAAAAAGATTTCCAAGTAATTACCAATATGGAATGATTAAATATATTCATCAAATAATCAGATTTTTGAATTAAAATTCAGACTAATCTTGACCATTTCGCGGTGGCCAAATAGATACATTAAAAGGGTTCTATTCATGAGCTCGAACGACGAATCACATGTAAAAAATATTGTCAAAACTGACTTTTGTTTCTATATAGACTCTAGTATATATATATAAGGACCCTATATATATTTAGGTAAAATATTAAAATGTCTACTCCCATAAAGTCTTTCATCCAAGTGACTAAGACCTCTTCAAAGTGTTTGTTTATACTCCCATATAAAGTGTCAACTTCAAAATTTAATGCATGAATATAAAAACGTTAACTTTCAGCTCGGAACTTCTCAAAATAATCTAAAATAACAAGATAGGATTACGTTTTTGGTTAAAACAAGAAAAATTGACTTGTTCATATAGACCGTCCAACTAGTACTTCAAGCAAAGGGCGGGGACCATAATCGAGTCAAAGTGACATTTAATCGTTTTAACATGTTATCATGTCGTAAAAAAAATATAGTCTATATTTTTTGTAAACTATTTTACCATATTAAATATACTCTTAGTAAAAAATTTGAACTTTGACTATAAAAGGCAAATAGTTTTAAGTCTAATGGTTTGAAGCCTAAAACATTAGTGTAAAATGATATATGACCTGCAAAGTCGTATAGGATCTTCATAGCATTGGATGTGATTAAACTCTAAAAAATACTCAAAAGTGTTATATTCTGACTCTATAGAGAAGAATTAGAATTTAAGATATAAAAGTAAAACCATCGAATAAATCCAATATGATTGCAAAAAAAGCAATGTTATATAAATTCAAATACCAACAGAAATTCAATC